CGCGCACTGCCCGCGCACCGCTCGCGCCCCACTTCGCGGCCCCGCGGCCCCGTCGCCTACTCACGCACGCCCCGCAGCCGCCCGTCGCCTGCTCGCGCACGCCCCGCAGCCGCCCGTCGCCTGCTCGCGCACGCCTTGCTGCCCGCAGCCGCTCGTACGCCGCTGCTTCCGCTGCTGCTTGCGCACCGCTGCCTCCCGAGCGCCGCCGCTGCTCGTGCGCCGCCGCTGCCCCTACGCTCCCGCTGCCAGTGCGCCGCCGCTGCCCGTGCGCCGCTGCCGCTTCTGCAGCCGCCGCCCGCGAGGCACTCACTCTCACAGTTTTTATTTTCTACCTACCGCGCACACTGCTGCCACCAGTGCGCCGTTGCAGCTCCTGCTGCCACGCTACCTACTACTGCCGCTCGTGTGCCACTACGGACAGTCGACCCCGCCCGCGCCTTACCTAGCGGCCCCGCCGGCCCCGTTGACCCTCCGCACACCTTTCCAGCGGCCTGATTCCTACTACTACTGTTACTACTGCTACTGCTACTGTCGCTATGGCTAGTCCTCCCGTTCTAGCTTTCGATGCCGAGGGCCGTCCAGTGAAGTTCGAAACCTGGCTAGATGACCTGCACCTGTTCCTACAGCTCACTGCCAAGGAAGATATCTCACTGTACGACCACGCCCTAGGCCATGCCACTGCCCCTGACTCGTCTGCTGACAGCACTCTGCGTTCCCAGTGGCAGACCCGTGATGCGCACGCTCGCTTCGCTATTCGCAACTCCCTGCCGCTAGACGAGCGCGAGCACTTCGGCCAGTGCAAGACTGCTAAGGACCTCTACACAGCTGTAGTTGCCCGCTACTCCTCACCCGCTTCTGCCACGCTAGGCCGCCTCACTCTCCCCTACCTGTTCCCCGACCTAGCCTCCTTTCACACTGTCGCAGACCTCATCACCCACCTTAAGACTAGTGAGGCCCGCTTTCGCGCTGCTATGCCTGCCGAGTTTCTCACTAGCAACCCCCCCCCGCTCTGGATCACTCTCTACCACATCGTCACTCGCCTCCCTGACTCTCTACGCGCAGTCAGGGACCATTTCCTCTCTCGCTCCCCCACTGAGCTCACTGTTGCCCTCCTCGAGAAGGAACTGCTTGCAGCTGAGGCGAGTATCGTCGCTGTAGGCACCTCTCGTGGCGACCCCCGCACCCCGTTCTTTGAGGGGTGTTCCCCTTCCCCCCTCCTCCCCTCTGTCGCCTCTGCTGCTGCTGTCGACCTCCTTGGTGCTGAGAAGGTCGGGACCGCGTCTGCTTCGAGCGGGCGCCGCAGGAACAAGGGAGGCAGGGGTGGGGGTGGCGGCGGAGGAGGTGGGGGTGGAGGCGGTGGGAGTGGAGGCGCGGCTGAGGAGGCCAGTGGCGGCAGTGGGGGAGGAGACAGCAGCGGCGGGAGTGGTGGCAGGGGCGGAGGCGGCAGCGGGGGCGGAGGTGGTCGTGGTGGCGGCAGGGGTGGAGGTGGCCGGGGCGGAGGCGGTGGGGGTGGTGGTCGTGGAGGCACTGGCGGAGGGCAGAGTCAGCAGCCCGCCCCGACGCTTCAGGCCGCCCGTGAGTGGTATGCGCAGCGTGGCTTTACCTGCACGTACGTCATTCGCACAGGTGACCGCAGCGGCCAGCAGTGTGGGAGGCCGCACCCCACGCAGCGCTGCTTCGCGCGCCTTAACGACGCGTGGCGCACCCAGTTTCCTGCTGCCACTGAGCTGCCGCGCTGGGCTGACCTGGAAAAGAGGGGTGTTGATATTTGGGCTCTAGACTTTGATGCTATTCTCACTGCCATGTATGCGATGTCTATTAGTGGAGAGGGTGCTCAGTACTTGCGTGTTCCGCCCGACCCGGGCATTCAGGCCAGTCCGGCCGCCGCTCTAGGTGCTCGTGCGTCCGCTCCCACAGGTCCTGGTGAGGCTGCTGCCCTAGGTGCTAGTGCGTCTGTGCCCCCTGGTACTGAGTCGACTGCAGCACTGCACACCTTCACCCTGGACTCAGGTGCTTCTCGCTCTTTCTTTCGTGACCGTACTGTCCTTGAGCCACTCGCTCGGCCAGTTGCTGTCTCCCTTGCTGACCCCTCTGGGGGTCCGGTCATTGCGACCTCCTCCACTGTCCTTCCTTGTCCTGCGGTCCCGTCCGGCACGCTGTCAGGTCTCTACCTCCCCTCGTTCTCTTAGAACTTGGTGGCAGGTAGTGCGCTCCAGGACGGGGGTGTTCACCAGTTCACCCCTGCCTACGAGCGCGTGACACACTGCACGTGTGCTCGGACGGGTCGCCACCTGGCTACCTTCACTCGGGAGCCGGGGTCGGACCTTTACACACTGACCACTGAGTCCCCTCAGGTAGCTGCGTCTGCGTCTACGTCTGCGTCTGCGTCAGGTCAGCTGTCCGCCCCCTGCTCGTGTCGCTCTCTGGCGCATGAGACTGTCCTTTGGCACCACCGCCTTGGTCACCCGTCTGTGCAGCGCCTTCGGGCCATGCACAAACGGGACCTTGTTGCTGGTCTTCCCAGGGTGCTCCCTCCCCTTCCCGACTCGCCTGCTCCTCCCTGTCTTCCCTGTGTCGAGGGGCGGCAGCGCGCCGCTCCTCACTCCTCCTCCTTTCCCCCGACGACTGCTCCTTTGCAGACGCTCCACATGGACGTATGGGGCCCAGCCCGCGTCCGTGGTCAGGGTCAGGAGAGGTACTTCCTGATTGTTGTTGACGACTTCTCGCGCTACACCACGGTCTTCCCCTTGCGCACCAAGGGTGACGTCCCTGATGTCTTGATCCCTTGGATCCGCAGATCTCGTCTCCAGCTCAGTGAGCGTTTCCGCTCCGACTTCCCTGTCCTGCGTCTGCACTCTGACAGAGGTGGAGAGTTTTCCTCTGGCCTCTTGGAGGCCTTCTGTCAGCAGGAGGGCATTGAGCAGTCGTTCACGCTTCCGGCCTCTCCACAGCAGAATGGGGTTGCTGAGCGCCGCATTGGCTTGGTCATGGAGGTCGCTCGTACCTCCTTGGTTCATGCGGCTGCCCCCCACTTTCTGTGGCCGTTTGCAGTCCGATACGCTGCGCATCAGCTCAACCTCTGGCCCCGTGTCTCCTTGCCCGAGACTTCTCCGACACTGCGTTGGACGGGAGAGGCCGGCGATGCGTCGCGTTTTCGGGTCTGGGGATCCCGAGCTTTTGTCCGCGACACGTCCGCGGACAAGCTCTCCCGTCGCGCTGTCCCCTGCGTCTTCCTTGGCTTTGTCCCGGACGCCCCTGGTTGGCAGTTCTACCACCCCACCTCGCGGCGTGTCCTGGCCTCTCAGGACGTCACTTTTGACGAGTCCGTCCCCTACTACCGCCTCTTCCCCTACCGCACTGCCCCGCTCCCCCCCCCGCCTCTCTTCCTCGCTCCAGGTGCAGAGGTACCAGACCCCCTCCCCCCTCAGGGTGCCGCTCCCTCAGGTGTGTCCCAGGTAGACCCGGGTGAGCCTGTCGAGGTAGCTGTTGACTCTCGTCCTGCGTCTAGGGGTGCTGAGCCTGGGGGTGCTGCTTCTGGGGGTGCTGAGCCTGGGGGTGTTGAGCCTGGAGGTGCGGAGCCTGGGGGTGTTGAGCTTGGAGGTGCGGAGCCTGGGGGTGTTGAGCCTGGAGGTGCGGAGCCTGGAGGTGCGGAGCCTGGAGGTGCTGAGCCTGGGGGTGCGGAGTCTGGGGGTGCTGAGTCTGGGGGTACTGAGACTGAGCGTGCTACACCTGGAGGAGCCCTCTCCTCCCAGCAGCTGCAGGAGAGGTACCTCGAGTACTGCCGCCTCCGGAGAGGTGCTGCTGGAGCTCGTCCCGGTACTTCCCCTCCTACCCAGGAGCTCCCCCCCATTCAGCAGATCCGAGAGTGGTACACGCGACGCTGCAGTCTTCGGAGTGGTGCTCCGGGTGCTGCGGACCCTGGGGGTAGCACTGCTGCTGGTACTGAGGACCCGGGCGTTGGAGCTGCTGCTGGTGCTGGGGACCCGGGCGTTGGAGCTGCTACTGGTGCTGAGGACCCGAGCGGTGGCGCTGCTGCTGGTGCTGAGGACTCGAGTGGTGGAGCTGCTGCTGGTGCTGAGGACCCGGACGGTGGAGCTGCTACTGGTGCTGAGGACCCGGGCGTTGGAGCTGCTGCTGGAGCTGAGGACCCGGGCGGTGGAGCTGCTGCTGGTGCTGAGGTCCCGGCCGGTGGAGCTGCTGCTGGTGCTGAGGACCCGGACGTTGGAGCTGCTGCTGGTACTGAGGACCCTGCCACTGGTGTCTCTGCTGGTTCTGGAGGCGCTGAGCGGCCGCGACCGTACTTCGTACCGCTCCTTCAGCAGGTTCTTGGGCAGACTCCTCCTCCTTGTCCTCCTCCCTCCTTAGAGTGTCCTCCGCCTGTCCAGCCGCAGTCACAGTTCCCGCCTGCCTCGCCTCTCCCTGCTCCCTCTCCTTACGCTGGTCCCACAGGAGGTCTTACAGAGCGTCGTGAGCCTGAGTCTCGTCCTGCGTCGCCTGTTCGTACTGCTCGCACTGGTCGTCGTGTCCCACGTGAGCGTCCTCCTCCTGTCCCTGGCACTCACTACATGACTCTGCGTCCCTCCACTGCTCCTCAGCGTGTCCCGCTACCGTCTCCTCCTGCTTCCTCTCTGCCTACTCTTCCTGACCCGGAGTCTGACTCCCGTCGTGCTGCCAGTCCCACTGTCACCCGTCTCCTCGCTACTGTTGTCACTGACCCTACCTTTGAGTCCTCTGCTGCGTCTGCTCTAGTCGCTGAGTTGATAGACTTTGCTGCCCACTGTCGTCTAGACTACGCCACTAGCCTTGTTGCTGAGTCTGAGTCTGTCTGTTCTCCGTCCGTCGGGGGTGAGTGTGCTCTTTGCACGGACGTCCTTGAGGACAGACAGGAGGAGTTCCAGTGCTTTGCTGCTGCTTTGCCCCACCTCGTGTCCATGCTAGTTGCCCCTGAGGGAGACCCGGATGCACCAGACATCCCGACCCCGCGCACTTACGCTGAGGCGATGGCGGGTCCCTACTCCCCCGTCCTCTCAGGGTCCCTCAGTAGGGACGGGGGCGGGGGCGGGCGCGGGACGGGGGCGGGGGCGGGCGCGGGACGGGGGCGGGGGCGGGCGCGGGACGGGGGCGGGGGCGGGCGCGGGACGGGGGCGGGGGCGGGCGCGGGACGGGGGCGGGGGCGGGCGCGGGACGGGGGCGGGGGCGGGCGCGGGACGGGGGCGGGGGCGGGCGCGGGACGGGGGCGGGGGCGGGCGCGGGACGGGGGCGGGGGCGGGCGCGGGACGGGGGCGGGGGCGGGCGCGGGACGGGGGCGGGGGCGGGGGCGGGCGCGGGACGGGGGCGGGGGCGGGCGCGGGACGGGGGCGGGGGCGGGCGCGGGACGGGGGCGGGGCGGGCGCGGGACGGGGGCGGGGGCGGGCGCGGGACGGGGGCGGGGGCGGGCGCGGGACGGGGGCGGGGGCGGGCGCGGGACGGGGGCGGGGGCGGGCGCGGGACGGGGGCGGGGGCGGGCGCGGGACGGGGGCGGGGGCGGGCGCGGGACGGGGGCGGGGGCGGGCGCGGGACGGGGGCGGGGGCGGGCGCGGGACGGGGGCGGGGGCGGGCGCGGGACGGGGGCGGGGGCGGGCGCGGGACGGGGGCGGGGGCGGGCGCGGGACGGGGGCGGGGGCGGGCGCGGGACGGGGGCGGGGGCGGGCGCGGGACGGGGGCGGGGGCGGGCGCGGGACGGGGGCGGGGGCGGGCGCGGGACGGGGGCGGGGGCGGGCGCGGGACGGGGCGGGGGCGGGCGCGGGACGGGGGCGGGGGGGGGCGGGACGCGGGCGGGGGCGGGCGCGGGACGCGGGCGGGGGCGGGCGCGGGACGGGGGCGGGGGCGGGCGCGGGACGCGGGCGGGGGCGGGCGCGGGACGGGGGCGGGGGCGGGCGCGGGACGCGGGCGGGGGCGGGCGCGGGACGCGGGCGGGGGCGGGCGCGGGACGCGGGCGGGGGCGGGCGCGGGACGCGGGCGGGGGCGGGCGCGGGACGCGGGCGGGGGCGGGCGCGGGACGCGGGCGGGGGCGGGCGCGGGACGCGGGCGGGGGCGGGCGCGGGACGCGGGCGGGGGCGGGCGCGGGACGCGGGCGGGGGCGGGCGCGGGACGCGGGCGGGGGCGGGCGCGGGACGCGGGCGGGGGCGGGCGCGGGACGCGGGCGGGGGCGGGCGCGGGACGCGGGCGGGGGCGGGCGCGGGACGCGGGCGGGGGCGGGCGCGGGACGCGGGCGGGGGCGGGCGCGGGACGCGGGCGGGGGCGGGCGCGGGACGCGGGCGGGGGCGGACGCGGGACGCGGGCGGGGGCGGACGCGGGACGCGGGCGGGGGCGGACGCGGAACGCGGGCGGGGGCGGACGGGAACGGGGGCGAACGCGGAACGCGGACGGGGGCGAACGCGGAACGCGGACGGGGGCGGACGGGGACGGGGGCGGACGGGGACGGGGACGGACGCGGACGGGGGCGGACGCGGACGGGGGCGGACGCGGACGGGGGCGGACGCGGACGGGGGCGAACGCGGAACGCGGACGGGGGCGAACGCGGAACGCGGACGGGGGCGGACGGGGACGGGGGCGGACGGGGACGGGGACGGACGCGGACGGGGGCGGACGCGGACGGGGGCGGACGCGGACGGGGGCGGACGTGGACGGGGGCGGACGTGGACGGGGGCGGGCGTGGACGGGGGCGGGCGTGGACGGGGGCGGGCGTGGACGGGGGCGGGCGTGGACGGGGGCGGACGTGGAACGGGGGCGTACGTGGAACGGGGGCGGACGCGGAACGGGGGCGGACGCGGATGGGGGCGGTCGCGGATGGGGGCGGTCGCGGATGGTGGCGAACGCGGATGGGGGCGGAACGCGGATGGGGGCGGACGCGGATGGTGGCGGACGCGGATGGGGGGGCGAACGCGGATGGGGGGGGCGAACGCGGATGGGGGCGAACGCGGATGGGGGCGAACGCGGATGGGGGCGAACGCGGATGGGGGCGAACGCCGATGGGGGCGAACGCGGATGGGGGCGAACGCGGATGGGGGGGCGAACGCGGATGGGGGGGCGAACGCGGATGGGGGGGCGAACGCGGATGGGGGGGCGAACGCTGTTGGGTGCAAATTTACATTGCACGACATCCTGCCGTCTGTTTGTACGAGTATGCGTGTGCGAATGCATTTGCGTGTGAATGGTGTGTTCGTGTGTTTGTTTGCTTTCGCATTTTTCGCTTGATGCATTTGCAGGTACTCGCGCAATGTGCGCTTCGGCACAACATTGTACGCGCTATGAACAGTGCAAGCAGAAAGGACGAGCTCGCAAAGGAACCCAAGATGGAAGCTTTGCAGTTCGGTTGAGTTGATTGCGCAGATTCAGTTCTATCCAACTCGAAATTGTACTGTTTTGTTTGGTTAACTATAGTGTAGCAGGGAAGGCACCATAGGGGTACAATTTAGGTGAAGGTTGGATGTTGTTTGTCTGTATCTGCATGCTACAAGGCCAGGGGAAACCAGCGGAACCAGCATTTGGCTGGTTGGGCAAAGACAAAACAGGTTCTGTTTTTAGAACCTGAACCTGGTTGTTGTTTTCCCAGGTTGGAAAAACAGAACCAGAGGTTGTTTACCAACCTACCACCTGCTATTTTGTCCAGCCAGGTTGGTTCTGTTGCTTGGAATTATTTGGGATCATCCCTGGTTGTTCCCAGGTTGATTCCCAAGGTCCTTGCTAGCTAGAACTATTTAATCCTTCTCTGTTTGTACCTGAATATAGTCAAATTGATTCAAGCGAATTCCTTCCTCGCTGGAATTTCGTTTCTGCGCTATTCGACGGCGGAATGCTACCCGAGTCAACGCTAGTACGCTAGCACTCCAACGCTAGGCAAACGCTGTCCGAGCCATAACTTAGTAATGGCAGAACTTTTCGCGAGGCAACTTGGCTCATTTTAAAGCTCTTGGAGCGAGCTTCGATATAGCGAATTCTCAGCTTAATCCGACCGACGGTCTGCACGGCACGCTGCGCGACGTTCAAGGTACTCTTGCTGTTTTGACTAAGTCCTTCTTGATCCCTCTCTCTACAAACTCGGACCCGAGGATAGGGGCTGGTCTTGTACCAGGCACCCAGGGACCCTTGGAGGTGACCCCGAGGAGAGGTTTTAAGTTTGATTAAGTCCTAATAGCTTGAGTTTATTAGGCCCTTACACCAACAAACGCGGATGGGGGCGAACGCGGATGGGGGCGAACGCGGATGGGGGCGAACGCGGATGGGGGCGAACGCGGATGGGGGCGAACGCGGATGGGGGCGAACGCGGATGGGGGCGAACGCGGATGGGGGCGAACGCGGATGGGGGCGAACGCGGATGGGGGCGAACGCGGATGGGGGCGAACGCGGATGGGGGCGAACGCGGATGGGGGCGAACGCGGATGGGGGCGAACGCGGAGGGGGCGAACACGGAGGGGGCGAACGCGGAGGGGGCGAACGCGGATGGGGCGAACGCGGATGGGACGAACGCCGATGGGACGAACGCGGAGGGGGACGAACGCGGATGGGACGAACGCGGATGGGACGAACGCGGATGGGGGCGAACGCGGATGGGGGCGAACGCGGGAGGGGGCGAACGCGAATGGGGGCGAACGCGAATGGGGGCGAACGTGGATGGGGGCGAACGTGGATGGGGGCGAACGTGGATGGGGGCGAACATGGATGGGGGCGAACGTGGATGGGGGCGAACGTGGATGGGGGCGAACGAGAAAGGGGGGAACGGGAACGGGGGCGAAAGTGAACGGGGGCGAACGTGAACGGGGGGAACGTGGAACGGGGGCGAACGTGAACGGGGGCGAACGTGAACGGGGGCGAACGAGAATGGGGGGAACGTGGAAGGGGGCGAACGTGGACGGGGGCGAACGAGAACGGGGGCGAACGTGGACGGGGGCGAACGTGGACGGGGGCGAACGTGGATGGGGGCAAACGTGAACGGGGGCGAACGTGGACGGGGGCGAACGTGGACGGGGGCGAACGTGGACGGGGGGAACGTGGAAGGGGGGGAACGTGGAAGGGGGGGAACGTGGACGGGGGCGAACGTGGACGGGGGCGAACGTGGACGGGGGCGAACGTGGACGGGGGCGAACGTGGACGGGGGCGAACGTGGACGGGGGCGAACGTGGACGGGGGCGAACGTGGACGGGGGCGAACGTGGACGGGGGCGAACGTGGACGGGGGCGAACGTGGACGGGGGCGAACGTGGACGGGGGCGAACGTGGACGGGGGCGAACGTGGACGGGGGCGAACGTGGACGGGGGCGAACGTGGACGGGGGCGAACGTGGACGGGGGCGAACGTGGACGGGGGCGAACGTGGACGGGGGCGAACGTGGACGGGGGCGAACGTGAACGGGGGCGAACGTGAACGGGGGCGAACGTGAACGGGGGCGAACGTGAACGGGGGCGAACGTGAACGGGGGCGAACGTGAACGGGGGCGAACTCGAATGGGGGCGAACTCGAATGGGGGCGAACTCGGATGGGGGCGAACTCGGATGGGGGCGAACGTGGATGGGGGCGAACGTGGATGGGGGCGAACTCGAATGGGGGCGAACTCGAATGGGGGCGAACGTGGATGGGGGCGAACGTGGATGGGGGCGAACGTGGATGGGGGCGAACGTGGATGGGGGCGAACGTGAATGGGGACGAACGTGAATGGGGGCGGACGTGAATGGGGTCGGACGTGAATGGGCGTTCGCCCCCATTCACGTTCGCCCCCATTCACGTTCGCCCCCATTCACGTTCGCCCCCATTCACGTTCGCCCCCATTCGAGTTCGCCCCCATTCGAGTTCGCCCCCATTCACGTTCGCCCCCATTCACGTTCGCCCCCATTCACGTTCGCCCCCATTCACGTTCGCCCCCATTCACGTTCGCCCCCATTCACGTTCGCCCCCATTCAGGTTCGCCCCCGTTCAGGTTCGCCCCCGTTCACGTTCGCCCCCGTTCACGTTCGCCCCCGTTCACGTTCGCCCCCGTTCACGTTCGCCCCCGTCCACGTTCGCCCCCATCCACGTTCGCCCCCATCCACGTTCGCCCCCGTTCACGTTCGCCCCCGTTCACGTTCGCCCCCGTTCACGTTCCCCCCCTTCCACGTTCGCCCCCGTTCACGTTCGCCCCCGTTCACGTTCGCCCCCGTTCCCGTTCCCCCCGTTCCCGTTCCCCCCATTCCCGTTCGCCCCCCTTCACGTTCGTCCCATCCACGTTCGCCCCCATTCACGTTCGCCCCCATTCACGTTCGCCCCCATCCACGTTCGCCCCCATTCACGTCCGCCCCCATTCACGTCCGCCCCCATTCACGTTAGCCCCCATTCACCTCCGCCCCCATTCACGTTCGCCCCCATTCACGTTCGCCCCCATTCACGTTCGCCCCCATTCACGTTCGCCCCCATTCACGTTCGCCCCCATTCACGTTCGCCCCCATTCACGTTCGCCCCCATTCACGTTCGCCCCCATTCACGTTCGCCCCCATTCACGTTCGCCCCCATTCACGTTCGCCCCCATTCACGTTCGCCCCCATTCACGTTCGCCCCCATTCACGTTCGCCCCCATTCACGTTCGCCCCCATTCACGTTCGCCCCCATTCACGTTCGCCCCCATTCACGTTCGTCTTTACACTGTAGCCCCGAGAAGCGAAAACAGCCGCACCTGTGCAGATCATGGAGCAGGCAATTTTCCGTCGTGGAGGTCCCTGACTAGTCGCTCTCGCTTCACTCCCAGGTATTTTCCAGCATAATTATGGGTTTTCGAACTCACAAATGACGTCTTTACATTGAAGAAAAAACCTCGTTTCGGACGTTTGTAGCCCCGAGAAGCAAAAACAGCCGCACATGTGCAAGTCATGGAGCAGGCAATTTTCCGTCGTGTAGGTTCCTGACCAAACGCTCTCGCTTCACACCTAGGTATTTTTCAGCATAATTGCGGGTCCAGGAACTTACAAATCACGTCTTCCCATTGAAGAAAAAAACCTTCTTTTGGACGATTGAAGCCCCGAGAAGCGAAAACAGCCGCACCTGTGCAGATCATGGAGCAGGCAATTTTCGGACGTGGAGGTCCCTGACCAATCGCTCTCGCTTCACTCCCAGGCACTTTCCAGCATGATTGTGGGTCCGCGAACTCACAAATGACGTCTTTACATTGAAGAAAAAACCTCGTTTTGGACGTTTGTAGCCCCGAAAAGCGCAAACAGTCGCACCTCAACAGTTCATGGAGCAGGCAATTTTCCGTCGTGGAGGTCCCTGACCAATCGCTCTTGCTTCACTCCCAGGGATTTTCCAGCATATTTGCGAGTCCGCGAACTCACAAATGACGTATTTACATTGAAGAAAAAACCTCGTTTCGGATGTTTGTAGCCCCGAGAAGCGAAAACAGCCGCACCTGTGCAGATCATGGAGCAGGCAATTTTCCGTCGTGGAGGTCCCTGACCAGTCTCTCTCGCTTCACTCCCAGGTATTTTCCAGCATGATTATGGGTTCTCGAACTCACAAATGACGTCTTTACATTGAAGAAAAAACCTTGTTTCGGACGTTTGTAGCCCCGAGAAGCAAAAACAGCCGCACCTGTGCAGATCATGGAGCAGGCAATTTTCCGTCGTGGAGGTCCCTGACCAATTGCTCTCGCTTCACACCCATGTATTTTCCAGCATAATTGCGGGTCCGGGAACTCACAAATGATATCTTCACATTGAAGAAAAAACCTCGTTTTGGACGTTTGTAGCCCCGAGAAGCGAAAACAGCCGCACCTGTGCAGATCATGGAGCAAGCAATTTTCCGTCGTGGAGGTCCCTGACCAATCGCTCTCGCTTCACTCCCAGGCACTTTCCAGCATAATTGCGGGTCCGCGAGCTCACAAGTGACGTCTTTACATTGAAGAAAGCACCTCGTTTAGGACGTTTGTGTTAAACTGTATTATGCTTGTAGGCTGTAGTGGGGTAGCCAATATGGGGTACAACCCCAACTAGGGTTTCATATTTGTACCCAAACTTCTGCTAGTTCAATCATTCTTGCCTAGCTATTCTGATATGGTATTCAGAGCAGGAGGTCCCTAGGACCTACCGACTGTTTTGTTAAGGGCCCACCACCGCTCGCATGCGGTTACCACGCTACCCCGTACCCTAGCCTCGTAGCGCCCTCGTGCGCCCTCGTTAGCGCCCTCGCGCGCCCCTCGTTAGCGCCCTCGCGCGCACCCTCGTTAGCGCCCTCGCGCGCCCCTCGTTAGCGCCCTCGCGCGCCCCTTGCTAGCGCCCTCGCGCGCCCCTCACTAGCGCCCTCGCGCGCCCCTCGCAGTGTCGCCCGCCCGCCGAGCCGCCCGCTCGCAGCCCGCTCGTCCTGCTGCCCGCTTCGCAGCCCGCCCGCCCGCTCGCTGCCCGCTTCGCGGCCCGCCCGCTTCGCAGCCCGCTCGCCCGCTCGCTGCCCGCTTCGCGGCCCGCCCGCCCGCTCGCTGCCCGCTTCGCGGCCCGCCCGCTTCGCAGCCCGCTCGCTCGCTGCCCGCTTCGCGGCCCGCCCGCTTCGCAGCCCGCCCGCCCGCTCGCTGCCCGCTTCGCGGCCCGCCCGCCTCGCAGCCCGCTCGCCCCGCTGCCCGCTTCGCGGCCCGCCCACTTCGCAGCCCGCCCGCCCGCTCGCTGCCCGCTTCGCGGCCCGCCCGCTTCGCAGCCCGCTCGCCCCGCTGCCCGCTTCGCAGCCCGCCCGCCCGCTCGCTGCCCGCTTCGCGGCCCGCCCGCTTCGCTGCCCGCTCGCAGCGCCGCCCGCCCGCCCGCTACCTGCTTCGCAGCGCCGCCCGCTGCCTCACTGCCCGCTTGCTGCGTCCCCTCTGCTGCTGCCGCTGCTCTGCTGTGCCCTCACGCCTGAGCTATGGCCTCTATTCGCGTTCTTTCCTTCGATGCTGAGGGCCGTCCCGTGCAGTTCACTTCCTGGCTCGACGACCTGCAGTTGTATCTTATGAGCAATAGCACGGACCACATCTCCCTCTATGACTACGCGTCTGGTGCTGCCGCTGCTCCTGCTGCCACAGCCGAGCTTAGTGTTCGTTCCCACTGGCAGACTCGTGACGCAGCTGCTCGCCTAGCCATTCGTAGTCACCTGCCGCTAGCTGAGCTCGAGCATTTTGGCGACTGCAAATCCGCTAAGGCCCTGTACGATGCTGTCGTTGCTCGCTACTCCTCGCCTGCCACAGCCGAGCTTAGCCGCCTCATGCTGCCGTACCTGTTCCCCGATCTGTCCACCTTTACTACAGTCGCCGATCTTATCACCCACCTTCGCACTAGTGATGCTCGCCTGCGTGCCGCCCTTCCCACCGAGTTCTGCGCTAAGAACCCCCCTCCACTGTACTGGACACTCCACTTCATAGTCACCCGTCTCCCTGACACCCTCCGCTCAGTTCGAGACCACTTCCTTGCTCGCTGTCCCACTGAGCTCACAGTCGCCCTCCTAGAGGAGCAGCTGCTCGCGGCCGAAAAGAGCATTGTAGCTGTTGGTGCTGCTCGTGGCACTCCTCGCACCCCCATCTTTGAGGGGTGTTCTCCCTCTCCCCTCGCTCCCTCCTACGCTGCTGCTGCTGCTGTTGACTTCCTTGGTGCTGAGTCTGTTGGCGCTGCTTCTGCTCCTGGTGGGAGGCGCCGCACCGGCAAGGGCAAGGGGGGCAAGGGTGGTGGTGGTGGCGCTGGGGGGGGAGGAGGTGGGGGAGGTGGGGGGGGAGGCGGTGCTGGAGGGAGCGGTGGCGGGAGCGCTGGTGGGAGTGGGGTCGGTGGTGGAGGCGGGGGCGGCGGCGGAAGCAGTGGCAGTAGTGGCGGCGGCGGCGGTGGCGGCGGTGGCGGTGGTGGCGGTGGTGGCGGTGGCGGTCGGAGCGGTGGTAGTGGTGGCGGCGGCGGTCGGAGTGGAGGCACTGGCTCGGGCCAGAGCTCCCAGCAGCAGCAGCGTCCCCAGACGACCCAGCAGCTTCGTGAGTGGCTTGCTCAGCGTGGGACGTCGGGGGGCAGTGGCCGCTGTTCTTATGTCATTCGCACAGGTGACCGCAAGGGACAGACGTGTGGGAGGTTCCACACCCCGTACCGCTGCTTCTCCCGCCTTGACGACGCTTGGCGTGAGGAGATGGGCGCGGATGTTGAGCGCCCCCGCTGGGCTGAGCTCATGAGGGCTGGTGTTGATGTCTTTGCTCTTGACTATGATGCTATTATTGCCGCCATGTATGCATTGACTGTTAGTGCCGAGGGAGACTGTTACTTGTGTGTGCCGCCTGACCCAGGTATAGAGCCCGCTGCCCTGGGTACTAGTGAGTCTGCTCTCTCTGGTATGGTGCCCCCTGTACTTGCTCCCCCCAGTGCTGTCCCGACTGGTTTCGAGTCTGCTCTCTCAGGTACAGCACCCACAGAGAC